GCTTTCTTTTCAGCTAGTGAAGTATCATAATAAATATATATTTGAATATGGCTATTGGTACATATAAAGCATTTTACTTGCATTTCAGCCTTTGTGTATTTCACAGCATCTTCCAGCATTTTGTCTGTTATAATTTCCAACACTGAATGGCAGTGCTAGCATTCTGTCCAATACTTTTCACCCTTACCAAAGCCTCACTATATTTTCGGACCTAGTTCTAACATTGGATTATTCCATTTGGTTGCATGAACATTCTGCAACATTTCAACTAGTGAACATTTGAACTCATATTGTTTTTTTCTTTATCGTCTGAAATAAGGAGGTCTGCATTCTCTCCCTATGTCTGTATCAGATGATTGTTACTTCATTTCACTGTCACAGGAACATGACCAACATCAAACTCATCATCATCATCATCATCAATCCACCCCACTTTTCTGTTATGAATGCATGTACTTTACCATAATGAATCATCTTCATCATATATGTACTAGTAAGCTGATGATACATGTTTGACTTCCAAAACTTGCAAATCTGGTTTTTCATGTGCCATTGTATTGAACTGGGCTACTTTTACCAGAAAAATGAAAGGAAAACTTTTTTTTAACAAATCCTAGAATGGTGTGGGTCTACTGGACCCTCCATGATGCTTGAGTAAACATATGCAAAAACTATTCTACTCAGCATAAAGCTGGGTACAAAGCCCATTTTGGCACTTTTGCAAATACCTCGCTGCTCATCATACCAAGTAGGTAAACACATAGCTTGCTTCTGTATTCCCTAGGAAAATTTACTAAAATGCACACCTAACAATTATAGTGCTAAAATACAAATTTGCTGTAGAAAAGTATGGGATAGGTTCACTGGAACCAGTCTTATGCTCCTAAAGATGTCATTTAAATGAGAAGTGGCAGCCTTGCAGGAGGCTTTGAGAAATGAAGGAAAATCAAGGTGGCTATCTTTTTTTTTCCAGGTAGTGGAAGGATTGCTCGCCTACCTACAATTATGTCTGTTGATAGTTACTGTAGTCAGGGGTTGTGAGGAGAACAATTAGAATCAGGACACAGAATTTATAATATTATTTTATGATGGTCACCCAGAATTAAACAAAAAAAAGTGCACCAAATAGTTTCCTGTTCCTTTTTTTTTTGGTGCTAGGGGTTGAACTGAGGAGGGCTTTCAACATACTAGACTAATGTTCTACTACTGAGCTATATCCTCAGCTTTCGGAATCAAATGTTTTATCAGATAGTTCTTTTGTGAGCATAGTATTTAGAATATTTTGCTAATAAATACATGTTGCAAACATTTTCTGAGTTGGACTCCTTGAGCTGGGGGTGGACAGAAAGAGGGAAAAAAGGTTTATATTTTCAAGGGATGGTAACTGAGAGCTATTATTTACTTATTGGTATTTTTTGAGACAAAATCTTGCTTTGTAGTTCACTTTTGTTTTGAAACAGGATCTCTCCTTGAACTAACTCATTATGTTACCCAGGCTGACTTTGAACTCTTGGTAATACTCCAGCCTCACCTTGAAAGTGCTAGGATTAAAGGTGTGTGCTAGCCCGCCCACTATTAAAGAGGTTTTTTTTTTTTTTTCTTTTTAAAGGACTATCTTATTGCTTAATATAGAAGTATTTATGATAAATCATCTACACAGTTTGTAAAGTCTATATAAATATTACAAAATGAATAGCTTATTTCAAATGACACCAAGATGAAAGAGGAGACAAGGAAACAGAATATCTAAAAATTCCCCAATTTATTAAGTTTTATTTCCTAGTTTTGTTCTACACTACAAAAAAGGTCTGATGAGGATGATTATCAATCCCCCATCCAAGAATCTGTTAACACTATTCAGACATGGAAAATTCTAAAAGTAAAATTCAGACAACTAAATGAAAGCTTCCTTATTGACAGGCCTTTCCAAATCCTACCCACTAGAGTACTTTAATAGAATGTAGCTCACGTAGTGGTTGCCATCTGCCAAGTAGAGCAAATTGTTGATTTTTGTTGAATAAGTCAAATATGCATAAATTATTTTTAATTATATACAATCAGGTGCTATATTTAGGCCCCATAGAAAAGCCATTACCTTTGTCAACTAGAAGCAAGGGCTAATGTAAGGTAACTATAAAAATAAAAAAGGGTAAATTACTTTTCTAAATGAAGAAAAATCATTTTATCTGCAATCTACCTTCTATGTAACAAAAATTTCAACAAAAATTTCCATTCTGCTGTGAGCCAGGACAATTAAGTAAGATAAAGTTAAGTAAATGGTCAGTAATCCACTCACTTCAAGTGTTTCAAAAATTTAAAAAAGTGATTGCAGAATTCTGACTTTCAAACCAGTCTCTTGTAATCATCCCAGAATTCTCTGCTGTTTTTATTTGACTGTAGAAAAAGAAATGCAGTCAACTAACTTCTTCACCAAGTTCATACCTAATGTCATTACATTGATGGTGGTTATTGCCAATTATTGCATGGCAAAGAAATGAAATTATAAAAGTACAAACATTAACATTCCCATTGTCATTATCTTTTTCATTAAACAAACCGTATACAATAACCTTATAAAAGCATTGCACACAACACGTGTTTTAGCAAACAAAATATACAAAGGAAAGTTTATGCTGGCACACAGTCAAGTTCTTTTAAGAACTAATCCAAATGCGGACTTATTTAAAACACAGCAAAGCTCTCGGTGTCACAATTTTAAGTAAAAATACATCAGTTAAGCAGTTGTAAAAATGAGCACACTCTCTTGCTCTGGACCAAAACCAATCAAACTTTAAAATATCTCTTTGCTACTTGCTGATCCATTTGGTTTAATTTACACAGTATGATAATGGTAGCTCCCATTTGGTAATTTCATGCATCTTGTTCATACATTAGGTAGTACAATCATGGAGATACAAAATGACCACTACATCAACAGGCCCCTCACTAGTCACAACATATATGTGTGGCAGGAATTTTGATTTAGTTCTTCAAATTTTGTCATTATAGAGATAGGAAACTAACAAAATGGTGGGCGGAATGGAGAAAAGAAGTTGGTATAACTGGTTCATGATTTAAGAAAGCACCGAATGAAAAAAAGTAAGCCCAGAAAATGATTGACTGATTGAGTAAAGGAAGCTTACAACAAGAATACCATTAATGGCGATTATGGTGATTTGATTCTCATTGATTTACCTACTATTTTCAAGAACACAGTTGGATGAACTAAAATGCACTTCTTTGGTAAATGTAGGCATTTACCAAAATCTGGTCAGTAAAAATTCTGGTCAAGTAAAATTATAGGGAACTAAAACGTATTAGAAGACTACTTCTGATGCTGTAACACAGGGCTGGCTAGAAGATCTATTTCAAACAGTTCATATATCCTGTTCTATTCTCAGTGGACTGAAATGGATAATTTAGGTGACTGTGAACATTGATTTTCTAATTTTAACCTAATAAATATTTGCATTTGTTAAATGTAAATCACTCAGCAAAATAACATTTGTAGTTTTTAAGAATCAGAAAATAACAAAAATGTGAAGCTTTTAGGGGAAATTTTGTTGGCATATTTTCAAAAAATCCTGTTAGAGGCTGAATGAGATACCTAGGTCTTGTAAGATTAAAAAGAAATCCTGTAGAACCTCAGATTTTTTTTCCCACCTTGGAGGTGGTTTAAAAAGAGTAATAGCATATGTTTATCACCACCTTAACATACACTGATTCATGCCTATTATCTTTTATGTATTCTCTCAACTCTCTGAGATGGTCACCGGTTTTGACTAGGAAAAATCAATGTCAGCTCTTCCATGAATCTTAACCGGACTCCATAGTTTAGTACCAATTATAATCTGCCTGGTTTACTAGTGGGTCTTCCTCTTCCTCTAACACTCCTCTCTCCCTAGCCAGATTTTGGGCACTTTAACAGCAGGAAACATAATCTTCATTTCGTTACTGTCCAAACATTTCTGTAGCACCGAGTAGTCACATAAGGTTGAGTAAATGAAAGAATTTGACAAATAACATAAAGTATGTAACAGATAGATAAGAGGACTGAAATGTGGGTTTTTGGACTCTTCCCTTTTCCCTTACATTACAAGAGCTAAAGGAAGCCTGGTCCACCAATTCAAGAACAGAATACCACACCAGAAATTATCACGAAATAGAACTTTTGTCTCCCTAACCTTTAAAATTTTGAATTGTCCCTATGGAGGGCGATTTGAAAATTACATTCTTTGGAAAGTTTAGACACTTGGACAAAAACAGCTTTTAATTTTTAAATCTAAGTATGGGGCAGAGTGGGTTATACAGGAAAAGTTGGATTTCCATTTGTTTAATTGGCTTTAAAAGAGGAGGCAACGCCAAACAAGGAGAAATATATCAGGACGCTGTTATATGTAGTCTGAGAGGCGAACCATGGGATTGAAAACTTGGACACAGAGTAAAGATGCTAAATTAGGAGAGGTCAGCAATTCAGAGCCCTACTCTTTGATTTTACCTGATACCATGTATTCCCTGTCTCAATTTCTCATTTAAAGCCTATCAGGACCTGAATGGGGCGCCTCTTTAACATTAATGTGCCGCTATCCCTACACTTAACACTCCCCAGGGTGGTGATTATTGGGACAGATTTTGTTAGGAAAAAAAAGTTAAGTTCACAACAGAGGAGAACTGGTCGCCTATGACCAGTCAGTCTAGCTGGACCACTCGCCATCAGCCTCCCCCGCCCCAAGCGAAACATCGGGGTCCCTATCTGATTCTATTTCCACCTTAGAAGGAATCCCTCCTCCCATCCTCTGTCCCACCTAAAAGCAACTGCTAGTCCTGTGCGGCTTTCCCAGGACTCAGTGAATTCAAAAAGGTGGTGGCAGGAGCAGAACCTCAGTCTCTAACCAGGTTTTAGGATTGGCGGTGGGTGGCGATGTGTAACTGTTTTTCTTGCTACCTTTTAAGTAACAGTAAACACAATCTCAAGGAAACAGGAGCTGGCCACGACTTACCTGTGAGCCCACCTCCGCCTTCCTCCCCGTAGCCTCGACGCCGTTGCAGCACGAAGTAGTCGTTGGACCTTTCCATTAGCCACAGCTTCAGCGCATTTTTCAGAAGCACTTCCTCAGGCTTCAGCCACATCGTGAAGAACTTTGTGTCGCCGGATAGCAACGACTTATTTGCCCTCCTCACCTCACCTCCAACCGGTTTTCCCCCCTCTATTTCTCTTTCTGATAAATCTTCCTCAGGCTGCAGCGGCTAGGGTTTAGATTTTCTACACTTCCCCCAGCCCTCTTTTCTCTCCCACGTAGGCAGAGAGGTTGCCAATTCCCTCCCACAGCGCTACAGCCCGACTGGGAAATATCCCTGCTCCTTTATCCCTTTGGGAGTTGTAGTTTTCTGCTCGATTTTCTGTACTCACGCAACTGCAGTTCGAGACTACACTTCCCACAATACATTGGGGCGAATACTGGGTGGGGGATGCTTTCAAAGCCCGTCCCGCCACCAGTTAAATGTTTTGCCTGGCTAAAATTAAAGGGTTTGTTGTTGTTTTTGTTCAAATATGTGATCCCCAAGTAGAAAGGTATTGCTTACTTGCTCATCAACCTTTTACAGCAAGGACATCAACAAAGTTTCTGAAATTTTAGAGAAACCACTCATTCCTGGAAGGAGCTTTAACTGCAACCAACATTTAGCTAAGGAAGTACAGTACTCAGGAGATCTGAATAATCCTCACAGATGTCCGTGAAGCAGATTTTTGCTACTTTTCACGTTAATAAACGAAAGCACTAACTAGTGAGGTGGTTTATCCAAGTCATAGAGTCAGTGCTACGTTTCCTTATCTAACTTCAAAATTCTTGCCAAAATTGAGCTCTTTCAACTCATAGAGAAAGAACATAAAATCTCCAGAAGCCACATACTTTCTTCATGCCTTGCACTTCCTTCCCTCGCTGCCGCCCCTATCTGTGTAATTACTGTAATAGGCCACAGGAAATTTCTACTCTAACTTTCCTTTTCAAATTTAAGCAATTTATCAGGGTAGTTTTCTGTATTTAAACTGTTTAAAAAACAAACCCCATAAGGGCAACCTTCACCTCTTTGTGTTTTGGCGGTGGTGCCCAACTATTTAAGCACTAGTGAATGAGGTCAGTAATCTGCATTACATTGCTATAAGCAATAAACGCTGTCTTTATTTATTACCCTTATGATCTCTGGGAGTTAAAGAGTGCACTCAAACAAAATACAACCCCCCCAAAAAACCCCAACAAAACAAAACAACAAAAATAAACCTTTGGGTGGGGCACATGCAGATTTCAAATTCTGGAGCCAGGGAACTCTGTCCAGAAAGAGCGTCTCTCTGGTTTAACCCTTGATGGTATGGCCCATCTCTAGAGAAACAGGTATGTGCTAAAGCAAGGGTTTTTCTTGCGATCAGAAAAAGGGCAGTCTGGAACTCTCTTCTATTAAAAGACAATTGGCAGGGGATACTCAGAAATGGATAGTTCTTTTGCTTCTTTACTCTGCAGGTTCATTCAGATCTGCCCAAAAAGCTTCTAGTGAAATCAGGCCTATGTCTGGCTCAGAGCAGGGCACTTAGAGAGCTCCTGTTTTAGTAAATAAATATTTCATGTTATGTAAAGAAAATATTTTTTTTCAAATAGTTACTTCTGTTATGTAAAATTTTCCTTTGATCATGAACTATTTCAATCCTTTGCAAATAAAGGTATTTCTCTGAAAGAACCTTTAGAAATAAAATGTCACTCTATTCATTATCCAATTGTGTATGTTAATGTAAATTGCTTAGAGAAGGACTAGGATTGAAAATTTCCTTTACTATCATGGCTGGTATTGATCTGGTACTAAGTATATGTTGTATCAATTTCATTAATAAGCTTATCTATTTTTAAAATCTATAGATGATATTTCAAAACTTACTTTTCTAAGATCACATAGTTAATCAAATTGCACAAATAGGATTTGAACCTAGAACATAGATTTATCTGACTACAAATCAAAACACTATATTGTTCATGCATATGGTCCATGAATATCTCAAAGCCAAATTGATTTTTCCAAAATTATCTATGCTTGATGTTGTTTCTCTTACTACGGTCTCTTGATTCTGTTTATCAAGATGCTCAAGCTAAGAACCTTGGCATAATCTTAAGGAGTTTTTTTTTCAGTTCCTATTTTCCCAACTCAACCAGTTTGTTGGTTTCTCTGTCTCTGTCTCTTTCTCTCTCTCACCCACACAAATACACATGCACATGCATGCACCAATGCTTCTTTTTCAAAAGTCCATCCCATTTTGCTATTATGGTTTTAGCCTCACATTCCTTTCTTGCTGTAGTGTTACAGTTGCTTCTCAGCTCATTTATCTGCTTCCATTCTTGTTTTCTGATTCATCCAAGGCAAATATTTATGGACCTTGTAACCTACTATGCAGAGGTGAATAACATCTTATTTATGCAGGGATTAATATTTCAGTTCACTCAGTCTTCTGAATCAAAGCCTCAAACATCTATAAGAAAAGGTATTAGGAATCCCTGAATAACAAGTCCAAGCCCTATGGAAAGATTGAGGCTGCCATTCATGAGTTTTTTAACTTTAAATAAAGTTCAGTAGCTTAGTTAATATTTTTTTCTTCATGTTTTTTAACTTTAAATAAAGTTCAGTAGCTAATATTTTTTTTCTTTTTCCTTTTTATCGGTACCGGGATTGAACTCACGACTGCCTGCTTGCAAGGCAGGCACTTATGCCACTGAGCTAAATCCCCAGCCCCAATATTTTGTACACAATATAGTAGGTACAGAAGCAGTACACATTAAAACCTGAGCACTGCTAGAGGAGAGCCATTTAAAGCTTTGCCACTCAAAGTATGGTTTCTAGGTCAACATCATCTGAACCTCATAAGCCTGGCTAGAAATTAAGACTGTCAGACTTCATATTAGACCTACTGAATCAGAGTGTACATTTTGACAATATCCCAGGTAATTTGAAGGCACTTTAAGGTTTTAGATGTACTGACTGAAGCAGTACATCATTTAATTTAAAAAACTATCTGAAAATTGGGAGTGCTAAATCATATTTCCATTAAGACTTATACAGGCAGTTTTTTAAAATAAAAAAAAAAAACTATTAATAAATTTTAGATGACTGAATTGCTTTTCTTAAAAAAGGATTTATACCAGGACATATTCATTGAAGTTTGCTGCGTAATGGTTGAGAACCTATCAGTTGGAATTATACCTACAAAGCGAAATTGTCACTAACCATCAGTACCAAGACTTAACTATACTATTCTTTTAATGATCAAAGTGTAGGTATGCCTATGAGTGGTTCACATTTGAGAGATTATGTTTACACAGGAAAATGTTGAGAATTACTGGGTAATGTTTCTCAGACTTTACATGAATTTGGATCTGATGGCTGAGAATAATTTATATTTATCTCTGGAGGTCATAGTATCCACTATAATCATGAAATATTCTCATGCTGCACTATTAATTTAAATCCTATTTTAATTAATATGACTAAACGATAAGAAATTCACTACAACTAGAAGCAATGAGCAAAGTCATTAGCTCAAAATTTATTACACGCTGTTGTGATAAGTTCTGTAATTAAAACATTTCACAAATAAAAAGTATACATATGGAATAAGAAGGAATGTTCCTAGCATCCAGATAGTCTCTCTAAATATATTTTTACTGTTTCTTGGGAACCAGGTATATTGTAGGGAGCTGTTGAAGATGGATATTGATCACATGTGTGGGGCTAATGCAAGGCCAGCCCAGCAAACACAGAGAGCCCAAAACAAGCTAGGTAAACAAACCTCCCAGCTCCAATCAGATAAGGGGCCCAGGCCAGCCAGGCAAACCAGTTGCTAGGCAGCAGAGTTGAAACTGATCTTCTTCTTTTGAGGGTATATATAAATGAGTTACAGTAGTTGAGCAGTTCCTCCTCTCCCATTAGGAGAGCAAGGGTTCTACCTGACCCCAGCTTTTGTCTCTTCTTTATATTTCCATACTCTCACTTTCCTTCCTCCCAGGAACAGCTAGAGATGCAGCCAGTTGCTACAGTATATTTTTAAAATAATACAGTCCGAGTTTGACTATAAACTTACAAATACTGAGAAAACTCTTTCATAATCTGGGAGACTCCTGATAGAGACAAATACTATCTATCGCTATTCTTTTGAAAGAATTAGCTTATAGTTTGACTATCATGTGAGAGTATAATATAAAGTCTGATGATGATGCAAAGAACTCCCACAAAACTTGAAATAAAGTTAATTCTCTAAAACTATAAGCATCACACACATGACCCTGGCATATTATCTATAAGAGTTTTCTGTACATTTGACTTGATAATAACGGTTCTGGGGTATTCCAAGAATTTGCATATTTTTCAGGTTTGACAAAGGAAAGAGATGCATTTAACTTATTAAAAGCATCCTAATACTCATAATGCCAAAGATAAAGGTGAAAGAAAATTTTAAAATACTTAAAGATCTTATGTCATGCATAGTATCAATATGTATTGGCATCTAGTTCTTTTTTTAAACTTATGTAATATTACTGGTGAATTTCATTAGTTTGCTGATATCTAGAACTAATTAATTCACAGTTAATTCAGTGATATAATGGCACCACTTCCTTTCCACATAATGAAACCTATAAATAGATGTCATACTAACAAGTTCGTTTTCATTAATCAAATATATCAGTTATCATTTACATATCAATATTTTTCTCTCAAAACCAGGCATATTATATATGAAAAGTCAGTACATGAAAGGTAAATTAAACACAAGACACAAACTTTTATTTGAATATTTTATTTACATTTTATATTTAAAGAGAATCAATACAAATTGGGACATATTTACAGCATTTCAAATCACTGTATAAGAATGCAATGGTTTTACCCATTCTATATTCAGCAAACAAAAATACACATCTGTTCCATTTTTGTCTAAATTATGCTGGAATCTGCACTGGAAACAAAACTAAAATAAAAGACAAGCCACGCAAAATACCAATAAAGTGCATTTTAAAATACCTCTATTTAACTTTGGTGGATGAAGCTTCAAACTTTATATTAAGGCACCTGGAATTCCTGCCCCCATTTTTTTCAAACACCAAAAAAACTGCATTCACAAAAGTATAGCTACATGGACAGAATTTTAGCTTAATGTAATTTCAGCCTATATAGGCCAAATGTAAACTCAATTTTCAAAGTCGACATTGTTTGGAAAACATTGTCTACAGATTAATTTTACAGAACATTTTCGTTAGACTAATTCATGCACAAAGAACAA